TTATCTTGTAACCATCTTCAAAATGTGACTTTTTTTTTCAACATAGACGAGCCCTGCATATAGCATATCTAAGTACAGGACATGGCAAAATGGGGCGGGGCTTATGATGGGTTGATTTTGGGTATTTTCACTTACTGACTATGTAAGCTGAGATGTTTATCTGTGAAAGCAGGCAGAGACTGTCCATTCAGACAATTTGCCAAAAGCAGAGGTGGAAGAGTTTATACAGTCTGTTATGTTGTCATAGTAATTACTGGTTACATAACACCTGACAAACACATTCAACAAATAGTCAGTGACTCATTGTATTTGTTTTTAATTGCACATGATGCTCACAAACCCGTGATGATGTATGATAAACTTTCATCCACGGATTTAAAAAACTGCCCTTTGTCTCGGAGAGGTTAGATTCTTCTGAGACATTTGGAGAAACTCTACTCTGTGGAAGAGAAGCTCATGTTGATTTGTGCTTTTATTTCAGTTCCAAAAGCTTTCACGGGGAAATTTTCAGATGGTTTAACGTCACTCTTGTAGCTTCAAATGAGCCGTATTCCAATCAGAAAAGTGGCAGGTCTGTTTGAAATACTGGGGAGAATTATAAGCAAGAAGTTAGTGCAGTATCTGGCTCTGGTCTTTGTGCTGGAGAGTATCATTCGCACACTTCTCATTACAACGCAAAACTCAACATCATATTTGACAAAAACAACAAAGAAACTAAGAGGCTCAACAGTGCAATAACATTATCGCCAATTCAAATCCCTAAAGCAAATATTATGATACTCATGTAAGTGCCACCATGCAAAGTTGAAACATGCCTCAGAGCACATTCATGCAGCGGAGCGTGCAACCAGAACCATGATTTCTCTTTTCTTTGTCATGATTCTTCCTGTTATGTGTGTTTTATCAAAGAGAAATTCTTTGGGCTTCTTGTCATGGCTTTTGTACGTCATGCCATCCCGTGTCTGTTCCTTTCTGTACTTCATAAAGGAGGACATGCCCCAGCCTGCGACCACTCTCCACGCTCTCTTCCTGCACACAGTCTGCTCTGATGGGTCTGATAATGACTTACAGTGAAGCTACGACTGCTTGGAAGAAGGTAGTCAGGATAAAGCAGCAGGCTGTGAACTGTTTTTCCTGCTGCAGCCCAGAGATAACTCCAACTTACTGCTAGTTCATGAAAGTTTTTTAATTTTACTGTTCCAATCAGCTAGCGTTTGGTTGGTCTTAAAAGGGAACAGAAGTGATGCTTTTCACCACTGAACCACTAATAAACAGTACAATGAACCCAAACAGTGAACACAAGAACTGCAGGAAGTTTGTGTAAAACCAGAGATTTGGATGGATTTTTTAGCAGTTTATTTCCTGTGAATATTGATCAGAGATGAGTTTTCTTGACTTTTTTTAAGGAACTCTATCGTTTTCTCTGTCTGTGTTGTGTATTTAAATTGTTTTTAATAGTTATACGTATCTAATAGGTTACTTTTCTTGACACATTTCTTAGAATCAAGAAGGCCTTGCTTTGGTGGGGTCCCTAAAATTTGGTTTCATTATTCTAATCATTGCATTAAAAAGCTGTCTCACAAGTTGTGTTTATCTACCGAGGGAGTGGATCCTCTTCTACGGAGCCCGTCATGTTGAACCACCATGTTTCTACAGTAGCCCAGAACGGACAAACCAAACCATGGTACCGGATAGGGCCTTTCGTTTTTCTTACGTTTTAGGGGCACCACAGTTTCTCCTCCACGCTTGTAAGGGGAGTGGTGTCTTTTTAAATAAATTACATTGTTAAGGAATAGCTCATGAAATATGCACATTTTATAAAAGCACATGACGCAGCTTAAAATTAAGCATTTATTATATGTATGTGTGTGTATAGTATATATTCTTAATTCAGAATCCATCTAGAACAGGCATTGACATTAGCTGCTTGGTTACCATGATGGCCATGTCACTTGCAATTGTATGCCTGGCTGCCAAAACTCATCTCGTTGGCAATCGCCAAGTATTCTTGTTTTTCTGTTTGTCTCGGTCTCTCTCATTAGGACTCATTTCAGACCTCTTAAGACTCTGATTTGACTTGAACTCAAACTTCTTTGGACTCGGTCTTCACTAGTCCTGGTCAAGGACTTGTCTTCGACACAAAGGAGGTCTTGACTACAGCACTGGTATCGATTGTATGAGTCATACGCTATATGTAGCAAAAGCTATTTTTAAGTAACAGGTGGAAAAAAAGCACTAAATAATATAAATAATTAAAGACAATATAGTGTGATTTCCGCAATTCAATTTAGTCACACATCTACCAGATTATCACATGAAGAGACAATAAATATTTGTTTGTGTGTTTAAGGAGCTTCATCCATTGTAAAACAGCATTGTATCCTGAATGACAGCTGACCACAAGCACTGCGTGTTGGCAGAATGGTCTGAACGGTGTAATGAGCTGGTAGACGCCTTGTGACTGGGCTTTGCTGTGCGTCAGAGAAGCATGGAAACAGGAAGCACAGCTACACGGCTCTGTAGACTGAGCACAGCTGAAACGCATTACACCTCACACTCGTGTGTCTATCAGGGTGACATCATCGGCAAATTTTTGCTAAGCATTTTGTGTTGTGTTATGCAGATGTAATATTTTGGCAGGAGCTGCCAGCACAGCTGATATCATGGACAGCCAGTATATCTCAATGGGATTTGGGTGTAGCATGGAGAAAAATGCAGCACACTGTGAAAGCCTGGAGTTGGGAACAGATTTGTAGTTTCAAGCTGTCTTCTTCTATATGTGAAAATAAACATTTTATTGATTGTCTTCTTGAGGTGAATTAGTTATTTTGTCCTGTCAGCAACATATCTCTACAACTAGACATAAAATAAGCAACATTTTCAGTGTATTGTTTATTCCATTCAACACTGATATTATGAGATGTAATGAACATTGTGGTCATAGGCCAGTGAGCCAGTAGTGAGGCTTCAGACTTTCTTTCATCATTACAGGCGCAGCTTTGAAATACTGCCAAAAACTGGCTGAGGTGCTACCCAATATTTCCACAACTGGTTTCCATCTCACCCTAACCCCTTATCAGTTGAGCCTTTTACAGTTTTATACGTTGGCAATATGGCAGTCTGCACACATCTTGTAAACTTGGTGTGTAATCATTAATGATGAAGCCCCCCTGTTTTTACTGCCTGCTCCACTTTTTTCTTTAAATGTTTGAAGATGAAATCATAACTTTCCACATCATGGTGGCGAGATGTCATTTTTCTCACAGTATCTCAGGATGTTGTTGTATGTAAACAGCTGTCTGCTTAGCTGAATGAAAATGTCTTGTGGATAAGATACTTTAGCTTATGTGAATGGAAACCCATGCTAATGCACATTCAATGGCGTCACCCAGATGAAAATAAGTTATTCTTTTGGGGGTTTTTCAAGCTTTAGCGAATTTGCGCTTATCCTTGACTCTTAAACCTATATATGAACCAAACCGTCACTTCTGTGCACCGTTCCACCTCTACTAAATACTAAAAAAGGTCCCGAACCTGACAAGCTGAACTTTTCTAAATGACACTAACTGTTTAGCTGTGTTGTGGTCTCCACCCTGATCAGTGCTGTAGAGGTAAATCAGCCCTGCAGCACTAACTTTTGACCCTAGGAGAAGACATGTAACAGCTTCACATGTCCAACTAAAGTAGAGACAAAGCCAATACAAACACTGATGACCACTGAGCTTCAGCTGTCTGCTGCAACACAGCCCTAGTTTTGACACTGTCCCCTGTGCTCCGGTTGGCTTTGGCCCTTTCCAGTTCAGCAGTTAGAGCATTGTTTGGCCTCTGCTGGACCACACACTGAGCCAGTATGGCAGAAGATGATATGCCACACACTCTTTGCAACAAACTGACTTGGGGGGAAAAAAAAAAAAAAAAAGTCCGGAGTCCTGGAAGTTGATCGAGTGTATGAGAGTAAATGGTAAATGGACCTGTACTTGTATAGCACCTTTCTAGTCTTCCAACCACTCAATGCGCTGTACACTACATGCCACA